TTAGCCTTCTAATTGGTTTATTATTGTAAGGTTTAGATCAGATACCCAACATGCTTTTGATTCCTTCTACTTGAACTAAGGGACGCAGTTACATTGCTTTCTCTTTACTTTCCTTGATTGATTTCCTCCCTCAAATATACGAGAGAAGAGGGATGTCTAGTTCCATTCTATCATTTTATCCAATGCAAATCCATGAAGAATATCTGGCTGTAATTGAATGGTGGAAAGACTAAAATGGTAAGAGTAGTGTGGAAAGAACTTATCATCCTCCACTGGAGGCATCTGCCTTCAGATTATTTAGACAGTCTACACCCTCAGTCTCCACCTGCACCCTTCAGGGCTTCTGAAGACACAAATAGCCATAGCTGTGAAAAAATGCCTTTTTCCACCTGCAGCTGGCCAGGAGACTGCACCCGATGGTGTCAAATTCAGATTTAGCCAGAGTAGTTGATGCATTTGTGACCTCTAGAATTGATTGCTGCATTTTTTTGTACCTACATATGAAACCAACAACCTTAAAAATGCGGCAACTGGTATAGAACAGCAGCTCCTTACTCAGTAACACAGGACATGGAGACAACATCACCCCAGAGTTAATCTCTTAACTATCTTTCCTTTGAATACCACATCACTCATAGTTTTGGCTCTCATCTTCAAGTCTAACCTGACAAACTGCCTCACCCTGCACAATCATGACTTCCCACAACAGCTGCGTTTCATGGGAACAATGGAACACAAGAGTGAGATTCATATGTACAGAAGACAGAGCTTTCTTGGCAACTGACCTGTGACGCTGGAACTCACTCCTGGAAAAGATGAGGATGACCACAAACCTCAGCATCTTCAGAGCAATATGCAATCCCTTCTTCAGTGCTGGCTTCCCACAAGAATACCACAAATATTATATACACATATACACACACACACATATATATATATATATATATATATACACACACACACACATACATATACATATACATACATACACACACACACACATGCACCTAGGCCTGGCTGACTGAAGTGGAGAGAAAAAACGTGTGTGTTCGCTTTGCAATTTCATGAGCCACTCAAATAAAGTGATGGGTGCCATATAAGAACATCGATAAAAGACACTGTCATTCTATAATCAGCTAAGCAAATGAGAGACCTATGCATAGATTTTCAGTGTCAGCCCCTTGTTATCAATTGACTATCAGCCACTTGGATTACAATTGATTAAAGGATATCTGGAAAATGCAAAGAAGCCAATTGGTCCCCAAAGTGAAATAATTACATTCTGGCTACCATTTTGAAGGTTCTGATTATGGGGAAAATGTAAGATCAAGTTTGCCTAGAACACACTGGATTCTCATTTACTCCCATGAGAATCAGGAGTAACTCCAGTGAAATTGGTGGAATGGCACTAGTGTAACTGAGAGGAAACTCAGGCCCGCTCTCAGGAAATACAGAGATCAAGTGTTACAGCTCTACATTTACTGCAGCCACCAGGCCTGATTACACCAGGTGCAGTGCAATGGTGAATCATTGACACCAGGGCACAGTGGGTACCAAATGCCATCAGGCGAGATTGGTAGCATTTTTCTGCTAGACACACGGTGCAAGGCAGTGGAGAATCATGACAATTTTAAAGATAAAGCAAGAGAGCAATGATATACATGAACAGCTGTTAACTTAAAAGCAGACATGTGCCCTGTAACTGACTGAAAACATTATGAGATTGTCTGATGACCTTAGTCTGTGCAAAACTGACTATTCTTTAGAGAAATGCTTTGGCATGTCAATGTAGTTAACCTGTTAGAGTTAAACACTTTAAAATATTTGCAATCTTACATCTTTGATTTAGTATCTTGATCTTTATTAAAAGTTAGTTATGTTGATTTAGGTGATCATCCCAAAATAAACCACAAATAATTAAAGGAAATTCCCAGACAGTCAATAGACCCAGAGATGGACTGGTTGAACCAAGTTATTTTATAATCTCACTAATGTTTGGGCTGCACTACACAGTTTATTTTTTTTTCTCCCCATCTGAATCTGAAAGGTGCCCTGATTTACCCTTTTAAAGGAGCAGTACTATCTAGGCAGCAGCCAACCCCTTCAGAACTTGCACAAACCAACTCATTTCATGTATCCATCAACTACACTCTCAAACAGATTCAAACTGGGCATGTGGAGGTTAAAAGGTTCTGAACCCCATGACCAGGCGCTGAGCCATGCAATCACTTTAGATTCATGTTTTTAAATCACTACGTCAACAGCCCACCTATTCTATTTTTAAAGTTTTCTGTCTCAATAGGTACATTCTCCATCCTCCTATTTTTTGTGCTCTTTAGGCAGAGACAAAATATAATACAATCCCCATCCATATTGTAGGTGGATAGAATTGCTTTTATTGATAGTAAGTTGAGTACTTGGAAACACTGAACAATGTTTGCTCAATTATTTTGTGCTGGAAAAAAAATAAGGCTTCTAAACGTAGCTACACACTGCAGCTATTTGGCAAAGCACCTCATTAAATACCAGCATTACTTTCCAAAGACACCCTGTATATATACAATGGGTAAGAGATAAATGGCCATAATCGTTCAATACTCAAGACTGCACAAAGTGGATATTTCATATCTGCACAGGGGGTTCTTAATTGAACTTTTGCCCCAAAGCTAAGCTTTCCTGTAGCTAAAGTGCTCCCTGATGCCATACCGGGGTCATGTTCTTTGTCAGGAAAGCAGAGCTTTAAATTATAGTTAATTGTTATCCGCAGCTGCCTTTCCCCTCCCTTTTATTAATGCCAATTTTAAAACAGTTATTTATGTGTGCAATTGTTTCCCTGCTGCACCATAACTTACCACCACAATGGAATGAACTGCATGGCCATATCCCATGCTGTATGGCATTAAAATCATAGCACCAGTCAAAAGAATGTAGCCCCAGCAGTTATAATATAGAAACTGAATTGTATGCGACTCAGTAATAAGGCAAACAGTTGGAATATGAAATCAGAATGGTTTGTATGTAAAGTCATTAAATTAGGGGTAACCCAGGGGATTAACAATGAGGTATGGAGACTTTCACAGTTTGGTGGAGATCAGAACTTGTTCAGTCTGAATTAAATTTGTGGCCTCAACCCAATTCCCTGTGGACAGGCATATATACATCACAATGCAAAACTGGTGGAGAAAAAAAAAGCCCTTAATAGGCATCATCTTTGGTGACAATCACAGGAGAACAATCAAGGACTGAATGGGCCATGGAAACTGGGTTCCCCTCACCTTTGGAGGCGATCCTTTCAGCTCAGGTTTGAGGCATACTGAGAATGGGGCACCAAAGGAAACCTTACACTGCTGCCCATGCTGTAGCATTGGGAAGGAGAATCAGCAGAATTCACCCTGCAGGGATGTCAAGCTGACACCCTTCTCAGGGAATTCACTTACTAAAAAAAAATGAAGGAACCAAATGGAGGTGGTGTTGGTCTGAATCTTTCTGGAATGAACCATCCTCTGACACATCACCTTTCCAAGGCATTAGATAGAATGATGCCTACTACAGTCTCACAAATAAGGCACTGTTTTGGGCTGCCAACCAGTTAAACATAGATTACAGCAGAGTGCATTCCAAAATAAATGAATTTATGTCAGCGTGGTTCATAAAACAGAGAGAGCCTTCAGGTGAGGCTCAGTATTGTATATGCCAAGGTAGTCTAGCTGGATTCCTCTGTGTCCTTAGATCTAGGCGTTACAGTTTAAATAGCACTTTTCTCCCCCAACAGGAGTACTTTAAGGCTTCCCAGCTGACAGAGAATCACTTAATCTTTGCTGTAAATGCCAACACTTCATTTAAAGTGTTCCATTATTACTATTTTTGGCATTCATTATGAATCTCCTCATCATAATTCATTTGGCATATGAGTGTTATATGTTCCATGGACTCTGTTAAAAGTTAGTGTTAATTACCACTGTATGGAGTTAAAATGAAGGATCATGCCATAAATTCTTAAAATGTGGGATTGGATAGTTATGATCAAGTCAGATGTTGGGCCTAATAAAGTGGTATTTTCCACAGAAAGTTGATTAAAAATTGTGGGACTGATGGAATTTCACATTCTTGGCTTATAAAGGACAAATCAAGTGAAATGCTTCCCCATCAAAATGTCCCCACTCTGCATGCTACTCAATGCCAATCATTTAAGAGGGAGCTGGATACAACTCTCATGAGTGTATGGGGGAACCATAAATAAAATGGTTTCTTCAAAGCCCTCTTATGGTTTTGAGTTGTAGCACAGGTTGTATTTGAGATTTCTGCTTTGTTTATTGATTTTACACAAATAATTCCCTCCCTCTGCCACAAAGGGATGGTAAGGAGAGCTGTTAAATATGCTGTGAACTTTAAGAGAACATTCCCAGGCATGATCATGGAGTGCAGAATACTTCACTTCCTATGCCCCCTTGCCGAAGCTTTATCAGTTAAAATTGCTTATTACTCAAGCAATTACTATTCACCTTAAAAAAAATTACTCAGGTCATTTCTTCAAGCCTTTTCCTAATGACAGCCTCTGTTCAACCGTTCTAAACATGTGAGATTCGGATTTGGGTTGTTAGTTTTAACAACATTAAAGGAATATTTTGTAAACTGTTTTTCCTCCCCCCAGGGCTCTCTCTCCAGCCTGATGCTTGATAGCCTTGAAAGTCAAGGGCATCTAGTTCTAGGAATAGGAGAGGCGATCGCCTCTCTCTCTAGCTGGGGCTTCGTAAATTGAAAAGTCAATTTCCCTAATCTGCAGAAAATCCAGCACAGTTTTACTGTTAATCTGCTGTGATGTGCTGCAAAAAAAGCCAGAGCCAGCACCACCCCCGTCATCCAGAACAAGACAAGCTTGGAAAATTCAGCCTCTCCAGGTCTAGATGCCCCGTTCCTCATCTTAGTCTTTCTGCAACCAATCGCACGCTGTCATCCCTCCCTCACCCCCACCCCCAAACTTAATATTGTTTCATACTCACCATGTCATAAACATTCAGAATCACCGGTTCATTTGCCATTGTTGATTGCAGCGGACACTGGATTTTAACCCCCAAATCCCTGCCAGATGTGGCGCTGCCCCCCGGGTACGCTTTTACCCTCAGCTACATAGGAGGGGAAATTTCTTTCTATGGCCGCCGAAGAGAGAAGCTTGCCTGGGGGGTGGGGAGGGGGGCAGAGACACGCTTTTCCCGGATGCCAAAGTTGGGGGTGTGTTTTTTTTCACCCCCCAACAGCAGCGTCAATCCTGGGTTTCTTTCTAACGCTGCAGCTCATCGGGGTTGCTGCATTGGTACAATACACTGCCCAGGCACCCTCCAGCCTTGGCACTGCCAATCCAGACGACAGACAGGGCAGGCTCTTTGCACAGATATCAGCCCCCCTTTCTCCAGAAAATTTGCGGGGAGAGGGGGGTTGAACTAGCGGAAGAGACGAAGACTCCCGGCCGAAGAAGGCATTGACATGCAGCACCCGAATGCGGAGCCGCGCGGCCGGCGGAGGAAGGTCAGCTCCCCATCGCTGTGCTGGCGCGGGTGGAACCAGGTCCAGGTCGCTGCCCTCACCCTCCCGGGGTCCCCGCTCCCAAAGGCGGGGAGCGAAACCCGGGACGGGCTTGGCTTGACGCACCGGCGGGGCCGGGGAGCGGAGCCCGCCGCGGTGCTGCTGTCCCCGCGTCTCGAGGGCAGCTGTCCGGGTGCTGAAGTTTCTCTCTGGGTCTCTTCTGGGGCCGCGGGCGGGGAAGCCTTGCGGAGCCGAAAGGGCATCGGAAGCCGCGGCAGGGAGCTGCGGCGGGATTCCGGCTCCCGCCCGGCTCTCGGGTGAGGAGAGGGACGCGCCGCAGGCCAGGCCAGCCACTGGGCTGCTCAGCGAGCCCTGGAGTTACTCTGCCACCGCATCCGTAGGAGTTTGTCTCCGGCCCGGCGTGCAGGGAGCTGCGCGAGTGCTGAAGGGCGGGCTGGAGCGCGCCCAGCGCGGGAAACCCTTGCTCTTCCCGCCACTCAGAGCGTGGGGCGAGCTGCAACCCCTACTTCGGGAGCCGCTTGTCCCGCAGGGGCCAGTCTCCGGGGACCGAGAGCTGATGGAGCCCGCGCCGCTCCCTGCGCGGCCGATGCATCCCCGCCCGGGGATGGGGTGGGGTGGATACGAATTGAGGAGCGGGCTGAGCGAGCTCGGGAGTTGCCTCAGCCCTGGCCCTAGTTAGGCGGGCGCCGGGCACTACCAGCTCCGCGATTTCTTGCAACCGACTCGCAAACAGCATTCAAATCCGAGCAAACGAGAACATCCACTGCGGTCAATCCCCTCCGGCTTTAAGGGAATCGCGGGGGCTGGGCTTGGGGGAAGGGCGGCAGGGGGCTTCGTAGAGGCATCAGTTTTCCCGGGGGAGCAGCGAGCTGACCTTAATGCTGAGGCAGCGCAGCCCTTGCCTGTAGTAGCCAAAAAAGGGAGCTGGGATGACCTCATCGGAGTTGGAGGCGTCGCTCAGGCTCTCTGCCAGCTTGCAGCCAACCAGATCTGAATGAAAAGTGCAGGGAGCCCGTTACATCAGCAAAGCCCAGCATTCCCCGGCCCTCCACAGGCAACAGCTGAATGCTTTCCTCCGCCGCATGGGAAACACTCAATAAACGAGAAGGTCTCTTGGGGTGACAATATCCCCAGTGCTGATGGCCTGGGAGTCAAAGTACTGCACCTGCCTGCCTAGATGGTTCATTATGCCATTAATTAGTAACCCGGTGTGTGTTAGGGAAAGGGGGGGGGTGAAAAAATAATTTGCTTTTAAAATCTTTTAACCACCCTTCATTATTCTCTTTCGAGGTGAAACTTTCACAAATTCTGTGTTAAACGGGGTTCAGTAGAGGTGCCTAATGTTTAACACCTTTTCCAGACTGTATTTTAAAGGGGAAGTGTTGTATTTTCAGTGTGTGTTTAAGGACTGCTGAGCTTATCAATTTCACACAAGTACCCCAGTGCTTGCAAGGAAATCAACAACGTTCCAGCTTGTCAAGGGAGGACAGAACACGTCCGATAGTTTGAAGTACTGGCCTGTTCTAGCAACACCAGCAGCCTTGCTTTTAAAGTCCCCACCGTTTTCCCTCTGGGTAGGATAATTTACATCACGGGGGTATTGTTGGTGCTGTTTTCTGCTCCTGTTACTGCTGCAGTAAGGACTTTTTAAAATATAATCAGCTTTACTATAGCACAAGAACTCAAGAGTGCAGCCTAAAGGCAGATTCCTAAAATGTACCTGTTGCCACCCTCTGGCTGAGACTGTAGAGGTGAGGCCAGAGTTGATGAGTTGTAAACTCTCAGCCAACAAGCAATTTCTAGTCATCCCTCTAGAAAGATACAAGTACAAGCAAATAGAGTTGTGAGCCTTTAGGGACAAATCCTGGTCCTGCCTCTACACTTCAAAGAGTCTCCTAGCAGAAGAACCCATGCACCTCTGCTGTGCAAGAAAGGGCAGGGCAGATGGAGGACGGATACCCTTTAATCCATAAAAGCTTCCTGTGTATCAGAGCACAGGAAGGCCTAGAGTCAGACGACCTGCTGCTCTGCAGAAGTCTTCACTCCATTCAGAAAGGGCAAATCAGAGTCCAGATTTATTTCAATGGGAGTCTAGGCACTTTTGAAAATCCCAGTAGGCATTTATCTGCATCCTTTGGCACTCAAACACCCCACAGGCCTACTGCATCCTCTGGACTGCCGTAGCAGCTACTCCATGGGGGGGGGGGAGAGATTCCTTCCCCCATTCATATCTTCCTTGAGTTCCGATTCTTGGTTTGAGAGCTTGGAATTGGATTTCCCCTTTACCTTTAAATTTTTAAATATCATGCAATGAAAGTTAAAGATTCTATCCTGCTAGTTATTGCGTATCCTAAGCTCCAAATAGAATTATTTACTCAACCTCACAAGAGATAGGGCCCAAAAAGCAGCCATCACACTCCTGCTAAACTGGCAACAGGTCCTTGGGATCACACAACTTGAGTGTTTCAGTGTAACAAGACACCTGCTACTCAAGCACCCCTTCATGGGCTGTAAGCACCCTTCCTTAGGGTGCCTCTTGTTCAGGGCTCTTTAATGAACTCCACACAAAGATTAGTGCTAGACATGTGTCTTAGCCCTCCACCCACATCAACCAAACTTAACCCTGGCAGGGGTTGCAAGATTCCACTAAGAAGGTCCCAGAAACAAAACAGTTCTTAAAACCACACTGTTCTCAGCCCCTTTCTGGGCTACCTTTGAGTATGTCCCCTTCTTCTGGTATCAAACACCCAGCATCAGACTGGCTCTCCTAGATTACCAGGACCCCACCTCAAAGCCTTCCACAGGAACCAGCATGCCTACTCACTATCTTTCTGTTCCCAGAGTGAATTCCCTGAGTCCTTTTTTAAGGCCCATTAAAGCATCAACTGATCCCTCTTAGCCCCACCCCCTCAGGTTGGGAAGGAGCTAATTTTATGGCACAGAAGGGGCTGGTCCCATTTCCTCTTAAATGGGCTCATCACCTTGTAACATAGCTTATCTACACACTATACTATATTACTTAATAAAATAATCTGATACACAATATCTGCTGCTCAGACGGAGCCTGAATCGAAGTCCACTGAAGTCAATGAAAAGACTTTGGAGCAGGCCATATTACAGAGATGGGTTATTAGAAATACTAAAATTGATTTAAAGTAAATTGATCATGGTTTGCAATCTTTGATTCATTTTTATCCTAAAGACATTTCTAAAGATAATAATTTAGATTTTAAAAATCTTGTAATTAAATTAAACCAATGGTTCTATTTTTAAATTAGATTAAGGGTCAGAAAAACGGGAAGTGCGGGGTGTCAGATTTAAAGCTAAAAGTCCATCCTTAATCTCATGTGGTTGCCTTTAGTGAACAAATATAATTGAAAGGTTATTTGCTATTTACAGACCTTTGTAGTACTGAGATACAATGAATGTTAGGAGAACACTTCAATCTCTCTGGTCACTCAACAACAGACCTGAAAGTGGCAATTCTTCAACAAAAAAACCTTCAAAAACAGACTCCAATGTGAAGCTGCAGAACTGGAATTAATTTGCAAACTGGATACCATCAGATTAGGCCTGAACAGAGACTGGGAGTGGTTGGCTCATTACAAAACCTAAACTTAATTTCCCCAATACTAATTTCTCCCTACTGTTACTCACACCTTCTTGTCAACTGTCTGTAAGGGACCACTCTCTTACTACTTCAAAAGTTATTTTTCCTCCCTTGGTATCCTGCTGTTAATTGAATTAACTCATTAGATTGACCTCACACTTGGTAAAGCAACCCACATCCTTTCATATATTTATACTTGCTCCTGTATTTTCACTCCATGCATCTGATGAAGTGGGTTCTAGCTCATGAAAGCTTATGTCCAAATAAATGTCTTAGTCTCTAAGGTGCCACAAGGACTCCTCATTGTTTTTGCTGATACAGACTAACATGGCTACCACTCTGAAACCAGTCTCAGAACTGAGTTTCCTGCATTTGTAAGTTGAGATCAGTTCCGTAAAATGACTTCAAACAGTTATTATTGTTTCATTTCCTTGTGTTTTTTTTCCAGTTGTACTAAAACATCTTACTAACAAACAGAAGGTGTTTGTGACTTTAATGGGAATCAATGTGGGCTAATTTTGGGCTTGATTTAAATTAGAACATAAGAATGGGCATAATGGGTCAGATCAATGGTCCATTTAGCCCAGTATCCTGTCTTCAGACAGTGGTCAGTGCCAGATGCGTCAGAGGGAATGAACAGAACAGGGCAATTTATCAGGTGACCCACATCCCCTGGCATCCAGTTCGAGCTTCTGGCAGGCAGAGGCTTAGGGACACCCAGAGCATGGGTTGCATCCCTGACAGTCTTGGCTAATAGCCATTGATGGACTTATCCTCCAGGAACTTATCTAATTTTTTTTTAATCCAGTTATACTTTTGACCTTTACAACATCCCCTGGCAATGAGTTCTACAGATTGACTGTGCACTGTGAAGAGGTGCTTCCTTATGTTTGTTTTAAACCTGTTGCCTATTAATTTCATTGGGTGACCTCTGGTTCTTATGTCATGGGAAGGAGTAAATAACACTTCC